CATCTAAGCTACTTAAAGGGGCTTAATGTACCTTGTTTTGCAACAATATTCAACCAACATGAAGTAGTGACTGATTATAAGGTGGACAGAAAATGAGAAGTGGACTTTCAAGTCGTTTAAAAAAGTAAAATACAAAGATTGTGGCGTCCATTTTATATCTTCCTGCGTCAATCCTTTGTAGAACCCTTAAATACTTTGCAAGGTAAAACAGTTCAAGCTCAGACAGATTGGACTGAGAGCTTTGACTAGGCCAATGTAGCACAGGGGCTTAGCTCCATCCAACTTCACATCAACTATGACCAGCTTCCATGAAGCTTGCAGCCAAGCTTCTCCACCAATATCTTGCACAGTAGGGATGGTGTGTTCAGGAGAGCGAAATGTTTTAGTTTTCTCCAACACAGACGGTTTTACATGTAGGTCATAGGGTTAAATCTTCCCATTCCAGATGGGAACGTATTTTTTTCTAAAAATGGGTTGTCGATTTCAAACACCCCCATGGCTCAGGAGATATCATCAACATGGAAATATCAAAAACAGTCAAAAAAAAAATCTTATTTTTAGAGTAAGCGTGCCCTTGTAAATGTTTTTTCTTGTAAACAATGTATTGTTTGTGGTGCAAAACAGTCTATGGCTATTGATTTAAAATACATGACTTTCAAGCTCTGCCTTTTAAAAAGTTCACATTTCTAAGTTGGTTGATGTTTCCATGTGCCACACAAGGTGCCCTTTTTACAAACTTATCACTTGTCCCCAAAATGTCTGTGGACGCCACTGTTCAGCGGTGAGCAGAACAAGAACGGTATCTGGCCCTTGGGACTACAAGTACATAACTTCTGAATACAAACAAACCAACCGCTTTGAGATTTATAGGCATAAACGAAATTAAAAGGACAATTGTGAACTATTTTGAGTTTACATAAAGTCCTAATAATGCACAATGAAGTTTGTGAGTGTAAAATAAGAAAAGTTCAAAGGATATAAATATTTTCAGAAACTATTGTGAGCCTCAGCGTCCGTCCAAAGCCTTCATAGATTATTAACATAACCATCTGCGCAGCATGGAACTGATCTGGTCTTAATCTCAAACCTCACTGTTGTAGGGTTAGGGTAGAGTTAGCTACACCTCGCTCTACTCTACCTCTACTTGTACGACTGACTGCCTGATTGTTAAAGTGGGCTGGATTTCTGTGTGCCAGACTGTGAAAGGAGTATAGGGATAACAGATTATAACATTAAATCAGGACCAAGATAGTTCTTTTTTTTTTTTAACACCGTTACATTCATAGGATTTCCTAACTAAAAACGACCTTTTTATGGATTCACATCAGCAGCAATGCATCTTCCCCACTCTGTGTGCTCATCTTCATGGATACCCAGAGCAAACACTGTAATCTCTGCAGAGGAATTCAGTCAACTCAGACTACAAATGCTTCTGTGTTTGAGTGTTGACTGCACACAGGAGTTTGCCTGGTTGCGCAGTCACAGGTCAAGAAGCGCCGGCGTAACGTCGCTTCTTGTGAGACGTCGCGAGAGACGTCTCACTTGATTAAAGTGGGAAAATGGCACAAGCGCCATGTAAAATTAGGTCACGCAAGATTTTACAGATGGTCCTAGCTGCCAAGCATGTTTTTCCAATTAGGGTTGATTAGGGAGGGAAATTCCCAGACAGCGTGAATTATTAAAAAACTGGAAATGGAATCTCATCATGTGGCGCTGTGACACTCGACATTCCCAGATGGGTCTCTGGGAGGAGGGTGTGAGGGGAGAGAAGGATTGGTGGGGAAGGCTGGGGCATGATGAGACTCCTGATTGGCTCAATCTGGGGACAGAGTTTCCACCTATTGTCACAAGCTGCAGGGAGAATGAGAGGCGGGGACGCCGTCACATCTGGGAGATTTTTCACGCCGACTGGTCCTGTGAACGCGCTACGCAAACTAAAGCATCAGAGATTGAAGGCCTTTATTTAAAAAAGGAACTTGCACTTCAAAGCACGAGTAAGTAAATATTAAATAGACGAAGAATTTGTGTTGGAGCAAAACTCCCTTCTGCCTGAACGCCAAATGGGAAAGAAAAGTTGAAGTCACGACAGGTTTTCGCTGGAAAGGCTGAGCTAAGAGACAAACATGACAATTAAATCAGCCATCTTTAAAGACGTGTAGAAAGCAGTGATCTGCATCCCAGGTAAAGATATGCAGCACGTTTATTGCAGTGACATAACCTTAAACTGAAAAAAAAACAAACTCAACTTTAATTTGGATAAATTTTTTTTTTTTGCTATACAAATTATCAGAACTCCATTTATTAAAAATCAGTGCAATAATTTTCTAATTGAATGAATGAATAATTTGCTAATTTGATGGAAGTTTTCAGGAATCCCCCCCATTACCAATTTGCCTGTCATTTCTCTTAGAGCAAACTCCCCAAAATGAGAAGGACAAACAATACATACTTTTCAGGAAGGACAAATTTGAGTCAATATTTATAAGTCAGCAAATGACTGTTCATGCAAAACAAACTGATGGGGGGGAAAAGAAAAAAAGAAAAACATTGATAAAATAATTTTTTTTAAAAATCACTTCCTACGACATCAGCTACATTTACCCGGACATAAATCTTAACTTTTGAGACTTCCTTTATCACTTTTTGCTATATTGGCTGGTTTCAATTCTTAAATGAAACTATGATTTCTCACGATTTGCTTCAGACAACTCAGCGTGAAGTATAGGCAGATTTTTGTTCTTCTCTTCCGAGTTTACATCCAACGCCACCACATACGTTCAAGCGATTTCCCTGATCTGGCCCACATTCTGGACTGCATTAGCCTGTATGGAACAGGAATGACTGACGGTCGTCCTCCAGTAGTCTCGCTGTCACCAGTGATCGTCACAGTCCATTGTTTGTGTCTATTTTTTTTTTCTTGTTTTACATAAGTGACTTGGTTCTGCTGCTGCAACACAAAACACATCCGACTAAACTGAAATCATCTGACACCTTTAAATCAAATAAAACCTGGAATGAATGATTTACTGGTTAGGAAATCGCTTGTGAGAAAAGAGGAAACATTATCCGTCCTATTCAGTCTTCAACTCAGGCACTCAGATTAATGAAGAAGCGGCTGAGGCATCGGTAAACTGGACTTTAAAACCATCTGTGCCGCTTCAACAACAACAAAACCTACCCAGACAACATCATCATCCGTTGCTCATCATAACGAGAGTTATAGAAAGTTGTGTCACAGGAGACGATCCCACCGGGTCCAGCAGGCGCTCCTCCCGGTGTCCACAGGTTATAAATATGTGCGACTGTCCTTGAAAAGCTCTTGCTCTTTTTCTTCGGAAGTCGGTGTGAGCCAGCCGGGCTCGGAGCATCATATTCAGCAGCCTGCGTTGCCATGTTGGGAGGCTGTCAGAGTGGCTCAGTGTCAAGCTTTCGCTGCACTGCTGCTGAATGAGGCCGACCACAAACTAGCCAGACTGACCTCGACGCTAGCCTGACGTTCGCCTTCCCTGTTGGGAAGCCTGATGATGTTTTGTTTTGGAGCTGGAGAAATGTTGCCAGTCAGGTCTGCTTGAGGAGAATACACTCAGGGTTCAGGGGAAACAGTCATGCAAGGGGAGGTGAAGGTGTTACCATTGTTCTCAGTGCAAACTGTTTTAGCTCAAGCTTAGCAACCGTTTCAAAAGGAAAGGCTGAAACAACAAGCGTGAGCGAGGGTTACACCCCCTCTCCCTGCTCCAAACAGGTGGCAGTTCCCCTGGGAAAATTACTTAAATCTCATCAAACTTTATTAACGTGTTAATAAGTTAACCATTTAACCCGTCGCTGCTCTTCAGCAAGTCTGATGAGTGAGTTTATGCACTTGTTCAGCATTTTTTTACTTGGAAAAACCTTCTTCAAAGTGAACCATTCAGGGGTGCCACTAAAATGTTTTTAATGGCAGCAAGATGGGGAGGTAGACCCAAACTGAAAGAAATCAGAGATTTATCTTAACTTTTTTATGGAGTAGTGATTTACAGAGAGATGACTGGGGTAGAGGAAGGACAGATTTAAAAGTGGTCCATCATGAAGAGAGGAAAAAAATATTAGCATAAAAACATTAAGAAAATGCAAAGTATACTCGGATTTTCGGCCTCACGTTTCACGACTGGCTGGAAACGAAAGAGAAATCTACGCTAATCTTTTCCCACTCGGCTAAAGTGCCATACTATAAAGAAAGAGGACATGCTGACGAAAACGCCCTTCAGTGTGGAAGTTTGTACGGAAAGAAGACGACTCCGATTTATCCATTTTCAGTAACAGATAAAATTAAGTCAGAAGAAGTGCAAGGCGCCATTTAAAAGGAAATTGTGCCATGGTGCATTTAGGCTCAAAGTCAGAGCAAGACTTTCAACAAATAATCTAATAACATAACAGCAAAGTTGCTCCGTTTTCTCCATTTGAGGTTTAAATCTCTGACTGTCGTGAAACGTGATGTATCTGGAAATAATAAGTCACTCTGGAAATCGCAGGGTTACAGTAAAATGCTACAACATTCTCCAGGAACTACAAAGCTTGTTTTAGTCATGCTAGCCTCACTAACTGCTGATATAAGATGTTTTTATACTCTGTTGCAGCTCTTAAAAATAACATTTCAAGGGGGGGAAAAACATGGAAACAGGCCTAAACATTCTGACCAATGTCTCTGAAATAGATTAATGCTGCAATTTATAAAATTCATTGTTCTTTTCGTTTAAAATGTGGAATGTACAGAAAACTTTCTGGTCAGTAAAGGCCAGCAATTTTTAAGGGACAGCCACTCTGTCGCCCCCCCACCCCCAACCCCTCCCCTACCCGCACTACTCTCAGGAGCGCCACTGCTCAAAGCATATGTTTGACAAACTTAAGGACTATTTAGAAACAAATTACTCCACACGGTCTCCTCCTGCATACAAAGCAACCTAAAGAGCGTAAGACCGCAAGCGGAGTTATTCCCTCCACCGCTACCTCCTTCAGTGACTTACCTGGCCTCACAGTTTTCAACTTCACGGGACTTTTGCAGTTCTTTATCAGCGTCTGCACGTCGTACAAAGGTAATCCTGAAATGGAGAGGTTCTCCACCTCCAGCAGCAGCTCCCCCTCGTTTAATTTTCCATCTCTGTAAAACACCAGGTTCTCGTTAATTTGCCCAATGTAGGCGAACTCCCCGTTCTCCGCGCCGCCGCGCAGAGACACGTTCAGGTCTCCGCGGGTGTCCTTCCCCACGGAGCACTCGTTCACCCTGGAGGTCCAGTGGTTCTTCTTCAGCGCGGGGTTGGTCATGGTGATGTATGTTCAGAGCCGACACCGAACCGAAGCGGTTCCCCCCCCGAACTCCCGGGCTCTGCCGCTCAGATAGGAGACTAGTAAGCGATGAATTTCACAAAGTAGATCCGAGAGAAGCGCAGCAAACTTTCCTTCTCTTCCACAGAAACATCAGCGCCTCCCGCAGCTACCTTCGGGCTCACAAGTCAAGCCATACCGGTCCACTCTGAACTTATTCCTTAAAGTGTTCACGCCGCTCTCATCATTTTTCAAAACATCCCCGCACTTTAGTGCTCCTTTGCTGAAGTCATGTTATATCTTCCTCGGTCCCACTTTTCTTTTTATAATCCTTAGAGAGGAAGGGGGGGGGGGACGCTTTAACGTGTTTCCTCTCCTGAATCAACTTAAAACCAAATGCAGTTCTCTCGTGCGTGTCAGACTGCGAACTTCTCCGGCGCGCGTCCCTCCTGTGTGCTCTGCTCAGACTCACTCTCACTCTGGACTCCGCAGTCATGGGGAAGCCTTGCCGAGCGAGCTACGTTTATGTGCGGTGGGAAATTTTAAATTCCCTTTCGGCATGAATTCCCCCCCCCCCCCAAAAAAAAAAATCCCTACTACTACTGGAGTCCAGCGTAGTGTGTATAATTAAAATTATTATAGTTTGATTATTATGATTATTATAATTTTACCATGTTAAAAAAAACATCACATTGCACAACTGGTCATAAAAGAGAAAAATAAAATAGTACAAATAAAGACAGATGTTGATGATAATACCAATCGCTACTACTATTAATTTTATTGTTTATTAAACTACTAATAAGGACTTGAGCTGATTTAATATTGTCCCACCCATCATATTTTATTAATATAATTACTGGTGCAATTATTATTATTATTATTATTATTATTATTATTATTAATGATATAATAATGACATCTACTTTTTATTTTATTTATTTTTTCTTTAATTATGTAAAGCACCTTGAAATGCCCTGCTGCTGAAATGTATTATACAAATAAAATTTGATTGATTGATTGATTATTATTATTATTATTATTATTATTATTATTATTATTAATCATTTGACATTTCTGATCGATGATAACCATCATAACCCCTGAAGTTTGTGCAGTAAAATCCTTAACCTGAATAGAATGTTTCTTATCAATACTTCATTGAATTTGAATAAATGATAAATCAGTTGCATCCACAGATGTATTTTTTTAATAAGCAAATTCATCCTAATAAACCCGATCAGAGGTTATAGTCCTCATGATGATGAATCAGAGATTGCGCTTGGATAATGGCAAACTAATAGAGAAGAGTAAAAACATTACAAAGACTGAGGCTTTCTCTGATTTGGTACATTTCAGTGTCTCTATGTCAATCAAAAAAATGTCCACAAACATAATAGCAGTTGTTTTAGCAAACATGTAGATTTCAATATTTCTCATCATTCGCTTCAAACAGATAAATCCCTGAACTCATTGAGTCCGTTGTGACTAACAAAGTCAGAGGTAACTTTACTCATGATGTCAAGCTGGAATGTGGATCCATTCCAGTCCTCAAGGGCCACTATCCTGCAGTTTTCAGATGTGCCACAGGTACAAAACACTGGAATGAAATGGCTTAATTACCTCCTCCTTGTGTAAATCAGTTCTCCAGAGCCTTGCTAACGACCTAATTATTCTATTCAGGTGTGGCGCAGCATTGGTACGTCTAAAAGTTGCGGGGCAGTGGCCCTCCAGGACTGGAGTTGGACACCTGAGCATGATTACATAATTAAGTTCGAATCTTGTAAGTCTGAGATTTTTAGAGAGCACTTGAAGGCAACAGGGTTCCCGTCTGGCGCATGCGTAGAACTATGAGACCCAAGAACTGAAATGGCTTTGCAAAATTAAAGGCTTCTGCTTGCTTCTCTAATTAAGTTGGTTCAGATATATAGCCTTGCTGTAATATTTTGGTTTTTTTTTTTTAGATTAAATCAATAAATATATAATTGTAAACCTATATGTTATGAATGATCTGTCAGGTGTTTGCAGTTACATAAATATGGCTGTGGCGATTATGTCTCAGACGGCTTGATTTCATTTGTGATCTGACTCAGCTGCTCAGCAGTTATTAAACACGTGGACCTCCCTGTGAGGACTCTGGCACTTCAGGTTAAACAGGCGCTGCTGGTCGCCAGTCGTGTCTGAAACTTCCTTCTTGTTTGGTTTGTTTTCGTCCTTTACATCACATAAAGGTTACATGAGTCAGAAGCAAGTTAGACTTACAAAAGCAAACCTATCTAGAAACACGTGGGAAATATAATCTGACAAAAGAACCTCTGTGGTCTGAAGAAAGGGCTAGAAAATCAGCCGAACTACGATGAAGAACGGCTAATGTGATCGGGGTGGACAATCCATGAAAGGATGCAGGAGGACAGTCAGTCAGACAGCTTAAGACAAAGAAAGACAAAAGAGATGAAAACAGGAAAGGATCACATGGGCCGGGCCTCTCACCTAGGGAACAGCAGATGAGCTTTTCCCAGCCTAAAAATAACAGCAAAGCACTCCTGGGAGGGCAACCATTGGCCTGGATGACAGGAAACAGTAACTTTACTACATCTCCATTCATTATCAGCTTCTCAGTCGTGGAAAACACAGCTGTCCTGCTCGTGTTTGTTCAGCAGGACGTGGAGCGAAACTCTAACTGCGGGCGAGGTTCGAACAATAAACATTCCCGTAGATAGATGGGAACATAAAACATAACAGAAGACACATGTGCCATGAATTATGGAGGTCTACATCCATTTACTGAGCAACATTAAACAACACAGCCCTAACATCGCTTTCCCGACTTTAACATGAAAAATAGATTAGGCTGAAGTGAGCTGTTAAATAAAGGAAGAAAGCGAAGATGCTAACCTGCTCATCAAACTGGGAAGGGGAATGGAAGACGGACATCCTGACCTGATGAGACCACCGGGCTCAAACGTCCTGGCTTCTTGCTAAGTTGAGAGATTTTGTCTAATTGCTGCTTTAAAGCAATCATTTACACTGTCTTGCAAAAGTTTTTTTCCCCACATTTTGTTGCAGTACAATCACAGACCTACATGCATTTTGTTGTGGTTTTAACAAAACACAGACTGTAACCATGAAGAGCAAGGGAACAGCTTTCAAACGTTTTCAAAAGTAAAAATTTGAAAAGTGTGGCATGGACATATGCAGCATTTTGTTGTTGTTGTTGCTGAGCCTCTACCAGCTTTGTAGTAGCTTTGTAACACTTTTTTTTTCTCCCGATTTCTCTTTATGAACTGGCCCAACCTCAGATTGTAGTGAGGACACCCGTGAACGACAAACTTTCAAGTTTTTCACCTTTTATATTAATGCTTTGATCTTAATCCAGATGAAACCTAAACATTGGCGCTCTGGAAATATGTTTAATGTCACTCATCCTAAGTCTTACATCCTAGTCTCATCTCTGATTTCAACCAGCATTCAGTGTACATCCATCAGCTTTGGTCTTGTAGATTCAGGTTTAAAGTATTTTATTACAGTTACCAACATGTTTCCTCTGACTGTAATAATAGTAACATTTTGGAGCGGAGACTGTTATTGTTGATTGTAAACCCATGTATTTGTAGAAGAAGCGGTAAAATGGAACTTTCTTTTTTATTTTCTGTCTCATTCTTCCAGGAAGCATCCTAAAAATCCAGACTAGCGGTGTGCGTATTTGATCTTTTTTTCTCCCTCCATCTGTGTGAGCATGCAGCAGGAGGTCAGGAGGCTCGGCTGCTGGATGTGTTGCATATGCATGCTCTCGTCCACATTCTCTGGCAGATAGTCCGTGTACCAAACACGGAAGCGCACCGTGTCACTGTGACTCTTACGGTGTTGCGTTCGGGGTGCCGCCGTCGGATGCTCTGTTCCTACGGACAACGAGCGGGAGTCGGGTTGCGACGTATGAACCTACACATCACCAGTGCTAACCTTAAACATTGAACATGACGTTGAAAACTGTACACCCATACTTTTGTGCATGTGCAGCTGAGGCGAGAGGTTTAAAATAAGTCTTAAATGAGATCAAATGTCTCCTCTTTTAGATAGATAGCATAGATCTCCACTTTGTGCCTTCAGAATGTGTGCCTTGGGTCAAACGTTTTGGGTTTCCTTCCACAAGTTTCCCAAAATACTTTGAAATTTTTTGCTGGAATTTCGTGTCCACACTTGCGTGTAAGTGATGGAAGGGATGAAAGCGGCACCTTCAGTCATATGGAAATTGTTCACAAGGATAATCAGAACTTCCTAAAATCTTGGCCGATTTCTTTGCTTTTTACTTTCCAATTGTGTCATACAAAAAAGAACGAGAAGAAGAAGAATACCTTTATTAGTCACTCAGGCGGTAAAGCAATGTGTTCCACATGTGCCTCCAGATGTGTTTGTTAATCTATCAGAAGTTTTTCAAAGATGCAACAACAACATCTTCATCTCCCTCATTGTCTAAAGAGACAGTAGTCATGCCGTATTTAAAAATTCTCATTTTGGACACAATAGTAAGTTAATACCGATATATTGCCTCTCTAAATACTGCAGCAATTAGCAAATACAAACCATTGTGGTGACTCTTCCTGCCTTAAAACAACACAGAAAAAGTCTGATTTAGCTTGGTTATCACGTGAGGTACGTCTCTCTTAGCCCTTATTTGTTTAAGGGTTTTGTTTTGTTTTTGTTTGTTTTGTTTTTTTTTCTTTTAGGAAGGACAACTATAAAGGGCAAAGGAAGGTTTGGAGCTGCTGACTTGGTTCGTGTGCCAGTAACATCTGCCGTGACCTCCAGTAGGGGAGGAGCAGCAGAGCCCGGTCCTCTGCCAGCTCCCCATCACGCGGCGTCACACAAATCAGATCGACAAAGTCAGACACTCTGCCACGGGCCCCAAATTTCCTTTCCACTCCCCTCCCCCCCCCACCCCCCATCAGTCTGCATATGTCAGAGTCTACTTGTGAGCATTTTGCTGCCTCCCTTAATCCTTCTGTCTATATCCCACTCCGTCGACACACAGCAATAAAATGCAAATCTGAGGCAGAGTCGCTCGTGTCTAATATCTCTCTCTCTCTCTCTCTCTCGTAGCAAACGACGATGAAGCGCAGCCTCGTAAACCACCTCTCCATGCCAGCCAGCGCATTATGCCATGAATTGCATGTTACCGTCAAAGTTAAAACGCTGTCTCTTTAAAAATCGGCACCAGTTATGTAACGCAGTGAGTGACATACATATGATAATACACACGCGGCCCGACGGGATCTCCACACGGAGCTGAAGCCCACAGAGTGTGTAACGAGTGTCGGTGCTTATCTTGAGGAGATTTGAATCAGAGTGGATACGCTGTCATGGAGAGCTCTCGTTAATGAAGCACCTCCATGCTATCGCGGTCTGCCATCAGGCTGCTGTGTTGTGGCAGCTTTTGTATGAAAACAAAATGTTTTTTTTTTTTTTATCATAAGATATTATTAGCTCCCATTTA